TGGTGCAGCAAGCAAGTGACACACGGGAGGCATCGCCACTTTTGTCCCTTCAGCCAAGAGGGACCCAGGCCCATGGAGCCAAATAGAGCCCATGGGCATGTTCCTGCCCCAGGGAAGGGAGGCATGCTTAAAGGCTCCAGTGGAGGTTAGAGAGCTGAACTACCATATTTTGAACCGCTGTGTTATCTACTTGGAGCTATGTCTTATTTTAGTGATTCATATGGATGGACCTTATTTTGTGGTCAGTGCTTGGAAGAACATACTACATTCCCTCTAATTTGAGCTGTAAGTGTGACAGCCTCCTCTTGCAACTACTTGCCTGCCCTCAGAGGAGAAGGGATCCTACAGTGGCTCCTATGTGGGGAGAGGAGGCATCCATATGGCCAGCCATATAGCTGTTATGGCTATTATTAGCTGTCAGCTATTATGGCCAGTGTCATAGCTGAGCCGCTGGCACAGCTGTTCGAGCTTTCATGGTGCTCCGGCCAGGTCCCTGAGGACTGGAGAAGGGCCAATGTGGTGCCCATTTTCAAGAAAGGGAGAAGGGATGAGCCGGGTAACTTTAGACCAGTCAGTCTTACCTCTATTCCTGGGAAAATGCTAGAGAAAATAATCAAAGAACACATTTGTGCAGGCCCAGCAGGGAAAATGATGCTGAGGGGAAACCAGCACGGGTTTGTCACAGATAGATCCTGCCTGACAAACCTTGTAGCCTTCTATGACCAGGTCACACACTGCCTGGACGCAGGAGCTGAGGCTGATGTCATCTTTCTGGACTTTAGGAAGGCCTTCAACACAGTTTTGCACCCTATCCTCATTGGGAAGCTAGCAGACTGTGGAGTGGATGCCTACACAGTCAGGTGGGTGGTCAACTGGCTTAGGGACCGCACCCAGAGAGTGGTGGTGGATGGTTCCTTCTCGGCCTGGAGGGAGGTGGGCAGTGGGGTCCTGCAGGGTTCAGTCCTCGGACCGGTATTATTTAATATCTTCATCAGCAATTTGGACGAGGGCGTGGAGAGCAAACTCTCCAAGTTCGCTGATGATACCAAGTTATGGGGCAAAGTTAGTACACCGGAGGGGCAGGGAGCAGATTCCGGCTGACCTGGACAGGTTGGATCAATGGGCAGAGAGAAATAGGATGCAATTTAATAAAGATAAATGTAAGGTACTCCACCTGGGAAGGAGGAACCCCCAGCACACCTATAGGTT